TCAAGGATTATACTCCGTCTACCGTACGCTCACGGCAAATTTTTGTGAGGAAGTTAGGGAGCAGAAGCGGGGCTGTGCAAAGGGGTTGCGCTGAGGGAATAAAGGTGGGGGCGGGTACTATTCAGCACAATTTTTTCTAGCACAGGCGTGCTCTGCAGTGACCATTCCAAAAGAGCGCATGGAAATCTGACGACGTGCAGGCAACGGCATGGCAATTAGCCGTTACATGTAAGATCTTCATGTGAGACGCAAATTCGAGAAAGGAGTAAGTTACGCATTTCTTGCGCCATCTCGAACTTTCAGGTGGCGAAAGTTGTGAGACGTTGTGGACTTTTTAGACTGCGAACTTCTATAAAAAAACAAGTAGGCTAGTACTCGTGGGGTTTTCGTGGAAGTTGTCCTCAAAGGCACTGAGCGTGGCTGACGGGTGTCTGTCGCCATCGTCACTGGAGGAAGGGATGAGCGGGGAGGGGGTGGGGGGCGTTTGGCTACAATCCATCCAGCCCTTCAGCCAATGACATTGGCGGCAACAGCCCGCCCCAGCCATCGTGCCCGCTGCTTTAAAGGCAAAGTTCAGATAAATCCTCTGAGCGTGTAACGTAAGTATGCTTGACTTCAAGAGAAACCGTGATCCTGAGGAAGCTCTACATGGCATCGTCTCCAATAAAAAAATATGAATATTTTCAAGCGTAGCGTACAGTTCCTTACTGGAGCAATTAAGCTGAGGGCTTATTTCAGGCGTTTTCTGGCCGTTTTGTTCCGATTTTGCTTTATTGACGAGTCTTTCGGTGCCTCTGCTCCCTTGCTGAAGATGTGTGCGTGGGCAGATACTGTGTGAGAACAAATAGTCATTATAGAATAGATTTATCACTGAAAAACGAGTGGTCAAGTTCGCCTGCAATGATAAAAAATTTCGTGTCGTGCTATCTACAGAGATCAGTCGCGTGTGGTGGTCCTGAGTTCGTCACTTAGCAGAGGCCGCATGACTTGCCGCAATAAGACTTTCTTTGTTCAGCGGTGTAGAAAGTGTTGGTGCAGAAGCCGTTACCTACCCAGCTAGCACAGCTATAACCAGATACATTTGGGTTATACGACTGAAACGGACACGTCAGAACGACTTACGCGGAGGATGAATCTGTGCAAGTGCCACCGGAATTGCCACCACTCGCAGCTAAATAGAAGAAGTTACATTGAACGGTGGGACAATGGTCTCAAGAGAATCGTTCCAAAACTGACCTGTAGTGACAGCAACGACGGGTGCAGCCGTTGTGGCAGCGGCACAGTAACCACAAGTTTTCTTACAGTTCTCCTGAAAGTCATAAAGGATGTATTAGGCGCAGTTGCGGCGTCATCACAGTCAACTCAACGCTCTCTGATTACTTTACAATGATGTAAATAGAAAGGATTCATATACATAAAAGATTTACCTTGACGAAAGACTGCATGTCGACATTTCTGCAGACAGAAGGATCATTCTCGCATTCAATTACAGTGTCGACGCATCCACCTTAATGTTGCATTATAAAGGAATTTCAAGATCGATCCGAAGGCAAGTGACACAAAAAATCGATAAGGTGTACATGCGATACGCCTAGCCTTAATGACTATTTTGCCTCTCAGCAAGCGCCTTTTCCTCCCGAAGACCGCGTTATAGCGCCCTACTAAGTGCAACTTGCGAACCCAGACGCCCATCGAAGGTGCCCGCCCACATATGGCCGACATCGACTCTGGTACACTACAGCTTCATTCATGAAGTACGATTGATATGAAGCGCTGCTACATGGATAAATGAATTCGTACGTGTAATAATATGTATCAAAGCGGGAGCGGTTATTGGCACAATGCCAACGGGAAACTCGTCCAAAAACGCTCGTCCAATGCTGAGCAGAACGAGAGCTTTTTCGCAGGTTTTCAACCGTTCAACTTCACTTTTT